AATCTAGATTAAAGTTAATCTTACTTTGATAGAACGAAACCTAATGCCCGTTTCTATCAATGCAGAACAACTTTAATCTCTGTTTAACTTACTCTTCATTCTTCTTTTTCTGATTCTTAAAATTAGCAAAAGATAAAGAATTAGTTGAATTGAGATTAAAATTAAATTAACTACTACGATAGAAACGAGAAAAGACATCATAAAGAATTTTTTGTGACATACATGTCAAAAAGATAAATAAAAGACATCATAAAAACATCTTCTAGACATTATCTGAGAGATTAATCCAACAATATTGTAGCAACACTGCAATATTCCAACAAAATTGCACACATTGCAACAATGTTGCTACAAATTTATATAGTGTAGGGGTTTTGCTCAACTTCTCGCACAGTTCATCTTTTCTCTTTTTTCTCCAACATGGTGAACTATACAAGAAGTTCAGCTTCAAAGAGCAAATAAAAACAGACCTATGAAGTCATGATGATGTTCTATGATAAGGTAAAGACCACAGTAAACTTTTGCCTAATTCATAATGCATAGTGCATAAGTAGAATCAACTAATCAGAATCTTTCCTTTTCTTTCTTTTCATAAAAAAGAGAAACTTTGATTGGTTAATTCTCTATGTACTATGTGTTATGTGTTGTGCAAAAATTTGTGCTGCAGCCTTAAAACGAGATAATTTGGATAAGTTAACAGAAATTTTGAAATCGCATAATGTATTTAATTAAACATACAAAATTATTAGTGCAATAGTGTATGTTTTATACGCTATTATATTATACAATTTTATATGTATATTTATATTTGTTTATTTATATTTATGTTTGATTGAATACACACTACGCGACCTCTCTCTCTCTCAATTTTTTTAATCTATCCAAATTACTCCGCTTTATTCCATTATTACTATTATTATGACTCAACCTGAAAAACTGATCAACAAGTTCTCGGTGGCGAGTTTGCATTATAGTTTTAGATATCGCGCCGATTAGATATCGTTCGTAAATACATAGGTAATTCAATCCCGCAACGAATTTCTCGACCGCTTCCACGAGCGAATGAGGCGCGTAAGATACGGAAGAGAGAGATAGAGAAAGAAAGAAAGAAATGGATGGAAAGAGATAAAAAGAGGGCGCCCGGGGACGCCGAGCGGGAGAGAAGCTCAACACACTCGGCCATAAATGGAACTTTCGACTTTCGCACTCGGTTTCCTCCTCGCCCTTCGCAAACTTCCTTCCAATCCTCAAAACCCTTCACGTGCGCGCGCGCGCGCGTGCGCAGTCAAGTTAGTAGCAAAAGACGCTTGGTGGATCTATCGAGTTCGAGTTGTCCCAAATCGATCGATCGATCCATCGTATCGACTCGGAGGGAACTTCACGACTCAAGTCAAGGAGAGGGGACAAGCGCTCTCGGCTCTCATGTATCTCTCAATTTCCTTATTACGCGCGGGGAGAAAAATACAAACCTCCCCGCCGATCTTTAAGGATGTATATGCGTATGTCGCGCGGAGGAGGAGGAGGCCTCCTTCTTTTTCTCCTCTCAACCCCCGACGACCCGACCATTCTTCGATCACTATCGCACACACACAGCATCGCAATCTCTCTTTAGGTCTATTCGTTATTTCTTGCACTTTTTGCACTCAAAATCTTCGTTTTTTTTCTTTTCAATGCTCAAATATACATACATTTATCTCGTTTTAAGTGCAAAAATTGTAGAAGTAATTTCAAGCAATACGGAAAGACCTTTCTCTCTCTCTCTCTCTCTCTCTCACGCTCTCATTTTCTTTCTCTCACCTGATGCTCGAATATCGCTTTCTGCAATTTCTGTTGCACATCCAAGATCTCCTCTTGCAGGCTCTTAGATATTTCCATGTTTTCTGGCAAGTGGTTCAGCACGTCAAAATGTTCCGGCTTCGGTAACAACCCTGGCGGCGACAACCCCGATCCGTGTGTATTGTCCCCGACGCGTTGAGGAGGAGGGAGCATACGGGGACGCGGGGCGAGTTGCGAACTGGCAAACGCTCCTCGCGAAAGTCTCGAGAGTCGAAGCCGTGGGCTGCGCGAGTCACGACTCCGACGGTCTCCGACAGTCCGACGAACGACGACGACGACGCGCAAACGAGCGACAACGGTGGCGGGTCACCGCGACGCGTTCTCAACGTAACGCAACGCAACGTAACGTCACCGTCACCGTCACGTCTCGTCTCGTCTCGTCTCGTCTCGTCTCCGTCTGTCCGTCTGTCCGTCCGCTCCAAACTTCTCGGCCGTTTCCTCTCTCGCTCTTTCTGCCTACAAACTGCCGATGCGATGTTGCGCTTCGTCCCAAAGTCCCGAACGCGCCATAAGAACGTTGTGTCTCTTTCTCTTCCTACTCGTTTCTTCTCTCGCTCTCGCTCTTCCCCTTTATCACCTATTCAACCGCTGATTCCCTCTTTCTTCCAGCCAAATGCGAATTTACCGAGCTCGCGCGGCGCGATGCAGCGCAACGCACGCATGCACGCACGCACTTTATTGTTAGTTTACGTACGCACGATATATCGCGATGTATCTCGCCACGTACTTTCCCTTTCGCACTTTCCTGGTATCGCGGGCGTTTTACAAGACGTACCGAAAAGTCACGATCAAAAGTCCAATTCCAAACTCGTCGTCGGCAACGCGACGGCGACGGCGACGCGAGCGTTTTACGCTGCCACCGGCCCGCTACGCTGGCCCTCGCTCGAGTACGCGGAGTACGTACCGCACGGCCGCACCGAACCGAACCGAAGTTGATCGCACGCGCCCTCCTCGCCCTTTCCCCCCTCTCTACCTCTTCCTCCTATGTTCGGACTCCGGACTCCGGCGCCCTTCGCCGATGATGCCCGATTCAGCGGGGGAGTCGACGAGCTTTCGCGCTAACATACGAGATTCAACACCTCTGTTCTTTTTATGCCTATGTTTTCATCAGTATAGATTAATTTTAATCTCGGTTCAACTTATTCTTTATCTTTCTCTAATCATAGGACTAGAAAAAGATGAAAAATTAACTAAATCGATATTTAATTTGATCTACATTAGTAGAAACGCGAGCATTAACTGAATTTCTTGGATCGTTTATTCTTTTGTTCTTTTTTTTTAAGGTGAAGAGAAAAAAAGAAAGATGATGGACCATGCAAAAAGTTGGACTAAAAAGAACAGATCTTCAGCTCTCCAATGAAGACGTCTTTTTCTTTTTCTTTTCCTAAATTTTTGCTTTTGGTAGCTGTATCATGTAGCACTCGCTACACTTCAAATGAAAAGGATATGTATAATTAGATGGCAAAAGGAAAAAAGAAAGGAACCAAAACTATGAAGAAAGTTCCAGTTGGTTCTAATATAAGCGCAAGGAATAAAATAAAACCTTCCCTTTGCTCCGCGATTTCATTCGTCCCTTCCCTTTTAAACTATTTGCGACAAACAATTCTCTAGATCAGTTAACCCTAGATAACAATGTTGGCAGCGTTGGCAGCGCTGTACGCTCATCGCACTGCTATTGGACGACACAAGTGTGTCAACATATGGCGATTCATATATAAGGTTTAGGGATCGATTGTGTGCTTGAAATGAGATAAAAATGACAAAAGCGAACAAATTTAGTAAAATATTTATAGTTTCATTGATCAATACCTACTGAATTTGCTTATTTTTTTTATGTTTCACTTTGTTTAAAATACACAATCGGCACTTTGTTCTTTATTTCAGCATTATAGACACTAGAAAGTTCTAGCGAAAACGAGAAAGTTTTCTCGTTCACACACCATATTTAATTTATAATGCATTTTATCGATAAAAATAAAGTGAATACAGATCTTAATTTTTATAATATTATTCATTTTCTTATACTTAGCTGATTATTAATTAATGATTTTTTTGTATGAAGACTTTCGAAGTGTAATTAAAAAGGTGTAGCAAACTAACAATCACTCAGATAATTTCAAGTCATAACTATATATTTACGTTATGCAATTAATTAATAAATAAATTAAAAATAATTTTTATCTGAAACTGATTGTATTTTGTATGAAGAATTATGAAATATTGAAAAGATAATTTACATTTGGATAATTTAACTTAATTTGTATAATTTTTTGGATAATAAATGTTACGTTATTATATATAATTTATTATGTTAAAATTAGATGTACGTATAATTATTATAATTATTTATTTTATACTTTATATATATATATTTTTTTGTTATTTATATTATATTTACTCTATTTTTAAACAATATATTTTTAATATTATACATATTTATAAACTATGACTGCTTTCTTTAATTTTAGACGTCGACACATAAGTATTGTTTTTTTTGTGATTTATGGAATATCAAAGAAATATTTATAAGAACGATATTTATGTCAATTATGTCTTCTAAAAAGAAAGCAGTTTAGTTATAATTAGTCAACATCGACTAAATTTATGTAAATAATAGATGCTTTCCGTTTGGTAACATATTATATAAAGTTGATCAGATCACAAATGTCTTTCCATCTTATTCTTTAAATGTCCAAAAAAAAAAAATAATTTGTTCGATTTGTATCACTAATGCCAATTTCAACCAACGTAGATTAACTTTAATCTCAGTTCAACTTACTCTTTGTCTTTTTCTAATTTTTTAGAATTAGAAAAAGACAAAGAGTAAGTTGAACCGAGATTAAAGTTAATCTACGTTGGTAGAAATGGGCATAAGACTGCGTTCCATTTAACGCTCACAACGCTCGTGGAATTATTTCATCTTTGTCGTTTATCAAATGTTAAACAAACGATGCTCGCGAGCGTTGCGAGCGTTAAATAAAACGCAGTCTTAAATGAAAAGTGCTTTTCTTGCTTCCCTTCTTGCTATTTATTTGATCCATGGGTGATTGGCGGATTGCAGTGATATCGAGATCACTCATAATTTGAATAAAATGCTTTTGTACGGAGATATAAATTTTAGTTAAAAGACGAACTAGATTTTCCATAAATTTAACGTAACAAGTGTAGACCGCATCTTTTTGTGCGTTTAATCGAGTTGTCCTTTGTTGTCAGATTTTCGGATGAGAAAAATGAAACGCAAGGCAAATGTTTCGGGAATTGGAGCTAACTTCACGGAACGTCTCGTCATCACTTTACGCGAGTCCATTACCATGTCAGCTGATTGTCATAATTCGAACAAATTGCAGAAACTGAATCGGTTTTGCGTGAACGACTGAAAGAACAATTAGGCAGAAAATGCAGAGTAGTGCAAAATTCGAAGCGGCCGCCGGCGCTTTTAACGTGGCTTTCAAACATCGCCGTTGGGTTGTGTCGGGTCTCGAATATCTCGGCGAATTCCCCTCTAGTATGCGGTAGTATCTGCTGATTATTTGTTGTTGACAGCTCGAATTAATTTGGCATGCGAGGAAAGCCATTTCTTTAAAATTATTTCTTGGACACTGCCCGCTCTATCGTTCAAGTCGATTCATCGAAACTTGTTCACTGATATCGTCACCGATGACACGTCCACACGTGTACACAACATGTCTGCACGGTACGATTAGCGTTGGCTCCCCTCACCCTCTCAGAGGACTTGGATGATCGCTGTCTCTTGACACTTCTTGAGAGAATATAGAAATATTTTGGAATTATTCGATCAGAAGGAACATTTGACTTGTTCAATCATGTTGAAGGCTGTTATTTTAATCGGAGGACCTTTAAAGGGTTTGTGTTGACTTAATTATCACTTATTTATCTAGCAAGAACTGCAGAATTGTCAAATTTAATATCAAAATTATATACACGCATCTAATTATATATATAATTATGTATTTTTACATTTATCTGAAGATTCTGTTGATATCTTGTACATAATTTTAACATTGTTGTTGACTTATGTCACATTTTGATTATTTCATCATTGTCAGTAGAGGCTTTGTATATAAAAATTTGTACATATATTTATTACATACATTTAGAATTGTTTTTCATTAAGACTTTAATATAAGGACTATTCTTTTTAATTGAATTTCTACCTTGGAGAGAAAAAGAGAAAAGATGAACGATTTAAGAAGTTGAGCTAAAAAACTTATAAATTCTTTATATGCATACTTTATCTTTATGCTTTATCTTGTTTCATTTGTATCTTTGTAGGAACTAGATTTAGACCTTTATCCTTGGATATCCCAAAACCATTGTTTCCAGTAGCTGGATTACCCATGATACAACATCACATTGAAGCTTGTACCAAAGTGCCGGGTCTCAATGAAGTGCTGATAATCGGGGCGTATCCCAAGAATGATCTGGCTCAGTTTGTACAGGAGATGTCGAGTACTTATGGCATAGTTATTCGGTATTTACAGGAATTCACACCCCTTGGAACAGCAGGTGGCATGTATCATTTCCGTGATCAAATTCGTTCAGGCAGCCCCACATACTTTTTTGTTATGAACGGCGACGTCTGTGCCGACTTCCCTTTGCAAGAAATGGTAGAGTTCCACAACAGTAAACAGGCACTGCTTACGATCATGGCAACTGAGGCAACTCGGCAGCAATCGTTGAACTATGGATGCATGGTTTTGGGAAAGGAGGGGGAGGTAGCACATTACGTAGAGAAACCTTCAACGTTTGTGTCGACTCTTATCAATTGCGGAATATATCTTGCATCTCCAGAAATTTTTCAAACGATGGCGGATGTCTTTCATGCTAATCAGCAACAAGATCATTTAATGTAAGTTTCTCGTTTTGAATACAAATAAATTTGGTCAATCGCACTACAATGGATTACTGTACATTAAAAAGATTGCTTTATACATATATAAAGTATTCAAATGCAGAAGCATAATATTTAATTTTGACAATGAAACATTACATCTATATTCTATAATTCTATAATTCTATATAATAACGTGACAATATAGTTATTAAATATTTAATCGTTTAAAATATTTATATACTTTTACCACAATTTCTCAATAATCAAATTGATAGCAAAAACTTGATGCCACCTGTGTCAGCAATAAGCTCATGTTTTGCTGGCAAAGTACATATTCTGTGTACATATTAGACAGCAAATGGCAGCAAAAATTGAACGAAGCTTTGTTCGATTTTTCGTTTTCAATTTGTTGTTATGACAGATTGTCAGTAAACTTGGCATTTACAATTTGTTTTTATGTTACCTCAGCAGCTTTTGTTGTATATCATCAATTTGTTGATATTATTGAATATAACAGAATTTTTATTAAATGTAATGCCTTTTTGTCAACAAATTTGTAGCAAATATTTGACAAAATTTATTTTTGGCAAACTTGGCTGACTGGGTTTATTTCATGTGTAACAATTTTTAGTATTGATCTAATGTAATGCAAATGATCAAATTTGCTATAAGAGAATGAGTATCCTTTTTTCAACATTTTTTTATGGGATTGCAGGCAGTTGTGCTACAATGGTAGAGATCCAGCGCATATTGCATTTGAGCAAGACATACTGACGCGTTTAGCGGGATCTGGCCGGTTGTTCGCCCTGCCTGTGTTCAGATGGTGGTCGCAAGTGAAAACTGCAGGTTCTGCGATATACGCCAATCGACATTACTTGGCCCTCTACAAGCAGAAGCAGCCGGACCGCCTTGCTTCTACGAATAAGAATTATTGTCATATTATAGGAGATGTGTACATTCATCCATCGGCTTCTGTACATCCGACTTCTGTGGTACGAGAGTAAATTGTTCTGCTATGGTTTGCAATACAGTAAACATCAGCTAACAACATAACATCAACATAGTAGTTTTCACACATTAATGTGCTCTACAATATGCTCTTTGTTTTCTATTTCGTAGCTTCTCGCTTTATTTTTTCCTTATTTTATCAACCATTGTATTGCTTGTCATGTATTTTTTATTTCTTCCGAAATTCGTCAAGTTTTATTCTGTCTCAGGCGACAGAAAACGAAAAAAATATATAAGGTAAAAAAACAAGAGAAAGTAGTAAAAACTAAAAAAGCAAAAAGCGCATTGTAAATTAGGCTTAACTGTTATATGCTACACACTATTATACATATATTATATAGGGTGAATTATTTTAATCTTAACAGGCAAATATTTTGAAAATACACAATTTCTCAAAAATATTCTAAATAAAAATTATACGGTATAAAGAGAGACAATGGTAACGTCCCTCTCTATACCATACAGTTTTTATCTAAAACTTTTTTTTGTAAAATTGCGTATTTTCGAAATATTTACCTATTAAGATTAAAATTAATCACTCGGTATTACATTTATATTGTTGAATGTGAAGATATAACATTAATATTAGGTTATTGTTGGCTAATGTTTCTGCTAGGAAACTTACTCTACTACCATGATATTTCTATTCTTTGCAGCTAGGTCCAAATGTGAGTATAGGACCAAGTACGATGATAGAACCTGGCGTGAGAATCAGAGAGGCGATCGTACTGGGTAAAGCGCATATTCAGGCCCATTCCCTTATTCTACACAGCATCATAGGGACAGGCACCAGCGTAGGTGAATGGTCACGTGTCGAGGGGACTCCGTGCGATCCCAATCCTAATAAGCCATTTGCAAAAATGGAGAACTTGCCGCTGTTTAATGTCAATGGCAAACTGAATCCTTCTATCACGATACTTGGTAAAAAAATAAAATCAAAACTGTTTCTATAAAAAACTGTTTCTATAAAAAAATAATAAAAAAAAGTAAAAAAAGAATATCAAGAATTAACACGGTAATCTGTAGGTTATTTCTTAATGTGTAATATATTTAATTATTAGATTTGTTGTATACGTTAAAAATTTACGCACAAATTGTGCTATTATATTTTTAAGAATTACGCACAACTGTGATTCCTAATAGCCATCATTTTATTTTTTCTTATTTTCAAATACTGGAAGTTTTTAAGTTTGGAACAGGACTATTTAGTTGTGTGTGTGTGAATACATCAACTACGATTAATTATGGTCAAAATTAGATATTTGAATAATATTTTCGAAAGTCTTTATTTATGTATTTTATTTCTACATATATAAGCGACACATTGCAATTATATATCTCATTTCAGGTACCAGTGTGAGCTTGTCTGCAGAAAAAATTCTACTGAATTCGATCGTCCTACCGCATAAGGAACTTACAAGAAACTACAAGAACGAAATTATTCTTTAGTTGTTTAACACTGCCGCTATGGAATTAGAACACCGTTAATGATTTATATTTTAATGAAAGAGTCGCACAAATATAAATAACATTAAATATATCTATATATACTTTTCAGAAACTTTCTGTCGAATTGTGATTAAAAATCTTTAATAATTTTGTAATATAAAATTAATACAAGATTTTTATATACATTGTATACAAATATCATGTGGCAACTATAAGCTATGTACATAGGCCAGTGGCAACGCACAAAAATTTTTACAATATACAGGCTTGTATATATTATATTTCGTCTACACATCAAAAATTATTACTTCGTATTTTCGTAAGTACATGAATAAATCTTTCATCTGTAAATTTTTATTCTTGTTAAAAATTACATATACGTGCGCATGTCGCGAGACGCCGTGCGGGATTGAATGCGACGGAACGAAGTCCCCCGAGCCTCGCATCAGCGCTCTTGTGGTATCGAGGTGATCGGTACGCGGGAGGAAGAATAACCGGAAAAAAAATCTCTGACGAAGAAGCCGCGGTACAAGCCGCCTAAGGTGAGGCTCGCTCTTGCGTTCCTCACCGGCGGCGCCAGGTGTTTACGGCAGCTGTAATAGTGTATGCGAGTGAGGAAAAGAGAAAGAGAGAAAGAGAAAAGAGGAGAGTCGAGAAGAGCGATGTGTACGTGTGAGACAGCCGCATTGAATTGCACTGAATCAACAGGTAGATCGGTATGCGTGGGACGTCTTACGCGCGTTCTTTCGCCGTGGCGCCGAGATTCGCCGTGGTCTCTTGCGAAAGATGCAGCGCGCAAACGAACGCGAGACACCATGACGGATCTTAGAAAGTTTTAGGGGACGTCAATCGAGATCGGCAGCCAAATAGCAGCGACTAGAAGGAGGACTGAGGAGGAGGAGGAGGAGGGAGCGGCGCTCCAGGTGGAAACGCGCGTTCTCCAAACGTGTGCTCTGCGGCGAAATTCCACGCATACCAAAGTCGCTGATCCAGCTTCCCCGCGAGCGGCGGTGGCGGCGGCGACGGCGGCTGCGGCGGCGGCGGCAGCGTCCTCCGGATCGGAAGAGTGATTTTTGTGATCGCCGCTCTCGTCAATGACACGCGCGGAATGCGCTGAGCGAGCGCGCGATCCCACGCTGCGCGCTATACGCGCCGACATTGTTGCGCGTCCACCTCGTTGCGCCTGGCCTTTTAAAAATCTGTTCGTGCGCGTCCCGACGTCGTGAGTGAGGTGTCGTAGGTGCGTTTTGAATGCGGGCGCAGGGCGAACGCGAATCCTGCGACGTCGTGAGAGCGGACGTTCAGTTTGACCCCCCGGCGTATAACGGACAAATGAATCCACTTGTGACATTGAATGTCGTGACTTGTTTATAGCCGTCTTAACACGAAATTCTTGTTGGTAATTTTTATTACGTTTCTGTTTTGTAAAACAATGCTTATATGTATATATTTTTCAGTTTTATATATATATAT